ACACTCACACACACACACACACACACACACACACTCACACACACCATCAGAAGCCATATATATACACATACATGTACTGTATACTGTATATAAACTAAGTAAAACTAAAACTGAAATAAAATGAATAAAAACTACTAAGTATTTATGTACTACTCTACACACACAGCACTTTACAATCATATATAAATGCTTAATACATTCATTCAATAAAAATTATATAGAAATATATTAAAACAACTACTAAAATGACAAAAACACATGACTAAAACTTTAATAAAATAAAAATAACTATGGAAAATATAAAAATTAAAACTGATTCAAAATATTAATAAGACTAGTATCTCAATACTAAAATAACACTGCACAACAAATACAGTAACAAAAAATACTAAATATATATCTATATACTGTAAAAAAAAAAAAAAAAGTCAAACTTGCAAATAAAGATTACTGGAGTGTGTATTTTAAGAAAATAATATTTCAGTCTTCGTTCTTCAAATAAAAAAAAAAGGTCTTAAACATTAAAGATATTTAGTTACTTAGCAAGTTTAAGGGGTGTGGGGGATTTATACATATTTTTCGGTTTATTTTTGAACATTTATTTGAAGCTTTCGAGTATATCGGGTACGTGAGGTTCTATATAGTTTTGAATTGTATGAGTCTTTCTTGCCGTTTCCTCATAATTGTGAGAACCTTTGTATGTTGTGAGTGAAAAAGTTGTTTCTAATATATAAAATGTATATATACAGAATTATATTAATTATTGTATTTTATATTGTAATTTTTTTTATTCTTTTGTGTCTTCTGCTCATCAAGGCTGCATTTATTTGATCAAAAGTAAAAAACAAAACAAAAAACATTTATTTGATCAAAAGTAAAAAACAAAACAAAAAACATTTATTTGATCAAAAGTAAAAAACAAAACAAAAAACATTTATTTGATCAAAAGTAAAAAACAAAACAAAAAACATTTATTTGATCAAAAATACAGTAAAAAAAACAGTACTATTGTGAAATATTATTACAATTTAAAATAATGGTTTTATATTTTAATATACTTTAAAATATAATTTATTCCTGTAATGTAAAGCTGAATTTTCAGCATCATCACTCCAGTCTTTAGTTAATATGCTGATTTATTATCAATGTTGGAAACTGCTGCTTTATTTATTTTTTTATTTTTTGGAACCTGAGAAACTTTTTTTGATGAATAAAAAGTTTCAAGGAACAGCATTTGTTCAAAATAGAAATCTTTTCTAACAATATAAATCTTTACTATCACTTTTTATCCATTTAACATCCTTGCTGAATAAAAGTATTAAATTCTTAAAAAAAAAAAAAAAGATAGAAAAAATTCTTTACTGACCCCAAGCTTTTGAACAGTAGTGTATATTGTTAGAAATAATTGTTATATATGCTATCTGGCCACGGCTCTTCAATGATCCATATACGGTTACCTAGATGTCAATATACCACAAAAGATGGTTTTAATGTAAACAACTGTACATTTAGATTTTTCCCTTCGCACTAACAATTGTATGGTCTATATGCAGAGGAGACTCTCATGTTTTCTGAAGCAACGGGGCATCTTTCAGCATTGATTCCTCCACCAACAGCAGCTCCTCATCGGGTTTGTGCCATGAACCTACTTACTACAGCACCGCTTTCCAGCGCTCATTATTGTTACGCAAGCTTTGGTGGTCTTTGTCACAAAAACAGACCACTGATTTACT